TTTTCACAGGATTATACATTCGATATATTTTGTTGAATTTTTATCCGATATATAATTTTTGCATAAAATTTTATGAAATATGAATTTCTGAAATATAGAAAAAGTCATTTCATTGACTGGTTTAAAAAAATCTCAAATTAATTCTAAGCAACAACTGATTATAATTATAATAATTTATATTGATCTTACCAATCAGAATAATTTAGTCATATGACTATAATAATAATAATAATAATAATAATAATAATAACAATAACAATAACAATAACAATAACAATAACAATAACAATAACAATAACAATAACAATAACAATAACAATAACAATAATAATAATAAATTAATAGTATATTCAAGTTTCAGTTATAACTAATAAATATTAAACAATATATAGCAACACACGAACATTTAATTAAAATTTTATATGGAACTATCTATATATATCATTGGTATTTTTATTTTTAATTACTACCTAAAATGACAAAATCACTGATAAAAATAACTTCATTTACCCAACCATATAATAAAGAATTTTCATATCTAAAATTAAAATTTTAAAATGATACTTCGAAAAACTTCCATTTATATTATGTTTGAACGTTTAAGACAATAAAAAAGAAAAAACTTAAATATCTGAGAAATACAATTGTACCTAATATACTTGAAGTGCACATATAAATAGAGTAATTATCTCTAGGAATAAAAATATTAATATAGAACCAAAAAATAATTTCACTCTTTGATTTTTTATTCTATCAACTTGTAAAAATTTTATACAAAATTAACTTATTGGCAATATAATGAAACGTAGAAAGCTCACTTGTAAGCATAATAAACATGCCACGTTAATTACCCGACACGTATTTAATTACGAGTTAAGTAATTTAACTTGGATTATGTTTACGTACATTGATGGTATGAGCTTATTATCGCAAACTACGACTACGTATTATAAATTTAGAATAAAGTGTTCTTTTTCATTTTATCGATGAATTCATAATGGATTTTCAATTGAAAATATTCTTTATATTATTTCCGAACATTTCCAACAAAAGTTCATACATTATAATTATTTATTATTATATGACATATTATATGACATCTAATTGTTACGTTAAATGCGATAATGAGTATGAGCAATGGATTGTTAGTTAAGGATTTGCTTTTAAAACATTTGCCATCATAATACATACGAAATATATACTTTCGTGTGCTTTACATTTTCATATGTTATCTCATGTAAAATTGTTTATAATAAGTTTATTTATAAATTCGTAAGCATCAAGAAGTTAGTTATAAAATCATTGACACTATAATAGTATTGTATCGTCTCTGATTTTTCTCACTTGATTTTAAATACGATAGGATAAAAACGAATTTGATCAGATTTCTTATAATAACTGTTTTCACGAAGGAAATCTTCACTTTGATAAGTCTTTAACAATCCTAGCTTTCGCATTATTTATTTGTTAAATCCTCGTAATACTGTCTAAACTATTAAATATGATTGTATAAATTGTCAAAAGTATTGAACAATACAATAAGAACTTTTCAATTTATCGAAAAGATCTTTCGGCTAAATATTAAATATCACTTACACTTTGATAAAGTACCAATTTACCGGATAATTTTATAATAAAAGAATTTATTATCGTAACAATATTACCATATTAGTATGGTATCCGTGAGTTAAATGTCAAACAAGTGAATAAATATCGAATTTTATAAATTTTTAAACGATACTTCCATTATCGCTCCAGAATAGTCGACCACACAATTTTCGATTAGTAAAAATATTTATGTTAGTTTCTAACTCCGATGATGCACATCCATTCTTTCGGGATAAAAAACTTTTTCCATAATTTAAAAAACTCAACGTATTATTATTATATAATCCTTGAGTGATGCATGTGTATATAATTTTAGAGCAATATAGAATAATTTTTTTTTTTTTGTTTTTTTTTTGTTTTAGTTTTTTATTAACGTCGATTAAAAACGACAATATTTAAGAAAATTTATGAAAAATATTTGAACGAACGTCTCTTGAGAGGAAAAGTCGAAAGAAAATAATTATCATATTATATTGGAATACGATAGGATGACAGTGAATTGAAACTTTTATAATTATCTTTGCTCTTAAGCTTAACGGTTTCGAAAAAACCATCATCGTAGGTTCACATTTGCATTAAAAATCCATTAAAAAAGTTGAACAATCCGTAATCGTCTTATACCTATAAGACGTTTATTCTTTTTATTGATTATTATTATTATTATTATTATTATTATTATTATTATTTTATTTTATTTTATTTTTTTATTTATTTATTTAGTTATTTATTTATTTGTATTTATTATTTTTTTTTTTTAATTTGTTTCTTGTTTTAATTTCAAACAAAGGCAACCATTTTATCCAGAATGTAGAATTCGAACTCGCCTGCAACATTGCGTCCTTAAGAGAAACATTTCACAATTCACGCAGAACGAGAATTATAAAGTAAATAGATAAACAATTTGTCCAGGCACATTTGTATAATTAATTGCCAGCATAAAATGAATTACTAAACGTGTAAGGGCAAGTAAATATTGAGGAGCACGTGGCACCTGGACTTTGAGAATGCATAGGGGCGTGTACGATTGTAGAGATTGCCGAGGTTGAGGAAAACGTCTTATCATCGAATCGCTCTGGGCGAGCCATCGCATCGTAGCCCAATAATTGCCGGCATTTCCTTCACTTTGCACACCTCTCGCACCTAAAGACCGTTAATGCGCTATCGATCCCGCGCGAGCATCGACAGCTTAGAAACAAGATCAAGTGCACAAAGTCCTCGACGAAGTAAACAAGCAACGTAAACTCGGTCGGCCCGAAGTCGAAGCTACCACCACCCCTTCGCGTTGTGTAGCGCCCCTAACGTCCGTAGCGCGCGCAATAGCAGCAGTAGGCGGGAGAGGGGAGAGGGAGAAGGGGCCGGGAGAGGAAAGAATCCCACCCTCGACTGCGGGTGACACCTGCAGTTGTAGCCCCGGTGCCGGCGAGGCGCGACTGCTTCCTCTCCCTCGCTGCTCATGGACTCATCTCCAGCTCGATCTCAACGCCGATTTCGGGCCTCTCCCCTGTCCCATCCAGCTCCAACATTTCATCCCGATTTCGGGAATCGCTCTCGATCTTTATCAGTGATCCCTGAGTGCTTCCGCGGAAACCGTGGACTTGGCTTTTTATTATTGATAACGAGGTCGCGTGGGTGAGGGAGCGGCTGGCGTCGTTTTACTGGCGATTAACGCGCCTTCGCACGTTTCTCAAGCAGCCATCGAGTGTGAAAAAGGCCGAGGATTGTGCCTTGTTCGTATCTTGTGCCCTTGGGACGAGCGCATTTATCTATATCCGAGTGACTAATCGCTGTTTGATTAACGAGTACTGCTAATACGGCCAAGTGCGAAGTGCTCGGACCGTCGTCGGGACGGACACGAGGAAGGCCCGTGCGGCCCATTTTTTGATGGCGTGGGCGTGGGATCTCAGTGGAAAGTGCCGCGAAGATATTGAGGGGCAGCTCATCAGCCGCTCACCTGTGCCGTGTTGACATTGCGAGAGAGAGAGAGAGAGAGAGAGAGAGAGAGAGAGAGAGAGAGAGAGCTTTTTGAAGGGAGAGGCTCTTATGATCAAGCGTGACATTAAAATGACAAACAAAACAACACGTGCATTCGAGAGGCTTCGATTTAAAAGCGATCGAGGATTTATGTCGAGCACCAATGAATAATATTTACAAGACGGATCTAAAGGGGATGATAAGAATAAATAAATCTAAGGTTTCGTTTAACTTATTAACGAGTATATCCTATCTCCCGTCTTCTCTCCTCCCGACTAAATTGATACTCGTCTTTGCCTAATAGACAGAGCAAATGATAAATGAAGCTCGTCCTACGAAGATCCAACAAACTAATTAACGTTTCTTATTAAATGAAATTTTCGTTAAAGAGCTAAGAATGGGAGAAAAAAATTGCCTCTTATTCTATCTTATAATCGAATGGCGCGACGTGCAAATAGAGCTTTAAAAAAGAAAGAATTGGAAAATAATTTTGTCAATACTGATAATTCCACGTCTGAGTAAGTGAAAGAGAGCACTCTGTCGTCTCGAGATTAGCAATATCAATTGGCCAACCGAAAGTTTTCCTCAAATTTGGACGTTCAGCTTGAGGAGCGAATCGAAGGGGACACGCAAACACATTGGTGCTTTTATGCGTAATATTTCCTTCAGCTAATTAGCCGCTTGTCATTAGCAGTCAGTAAATTAAATTATTGTCATTAGCAACAAATTGCCAAATAATGGCTCTACTATGTGAATAAACGAATGCCGTATGAATTGGAGTAACCGCAAACCCATGTTATACATGATTATTTGCCTAATTCGAGGCCCAGGCTTTAAAAGCTGCCAATGATAAAGAGCGCGAAAGACGAGGATAGAAAAGAAAAAAAGATACGCAGGCACTTTTTTATTATTATTATCGAATAAGAAAGCACACATATGTGTATGAATATTGATTAATTTTTCATCGCGACTAACACTTGCACTGTTTTAGTCTTATTCTCTTGTTTCTCTCTCTCTCTCTCTCTCTCTCTCTCTCTCTCTCTCTTTTGTTTTTGTTTTGTTTTATATTTTTTGTTTTATGTTTGTTTTTTGTTTGTTTTTGGTTGTTTCCATCGCCACATAGAAAACGAAAAGCCCTCCCTCCACCCGCGGGCCACGCGCACGCCCACATCTTCGTCCCATCGACGATAAGCACCATAAATTAATGCGATGTAAATGATTGTAAAGGAGCGGCAGGAGACATCGGACGATCGTCCCCCTCGCGTTAAACTGCGTATCGTCGAGCCAAAAGATCGCCGCCGCGGCTGCGTCTCGGCATTAATCGTAAAGCAATCGGTCAGTCGAAAGGTAATGAGAGCGAGTCCCGTACGCCGGGCGCAAAGCACTCGCGTCGCTCCCCTACGTCAGCCGGGCGCTTCGTCGGGAGCGAGTCCTCTCTACGGGAGAGGTGGCGGGATGGGATCGCGAGCGGGACGATAATGATAAGAGTGCGATCGTCGGGGGCCGAGTCCAAGGCTAGCAACGATAGGTGCGACCGGCTGAGGCGCAAGAGCATCGCCTTCCTGGCCAATCTCTTTAAGCTCGGAAGACGCAATAATTGTCTCACAGGCATGAGGATCGACGAGGAGACGACGGCCACGAGGATGCAGCGCTCGCCGAGATTCGAGAGCCCAGGTAACGTAATGAGATTAGCCAGAGCTTATCCTGCCCTAGCCAATCGACCGATGACTGTCGTCGGCTGGGAATTGTAGGGGCCGAGTCGCGACAATCTAACCTCAAAATTTCGCGCTCCGACGAGCCTACCGAGTTCGTGCGTCTAGACGACAGTTATTGCCGCGCAAGCTTCTCAAGCTTTTTCTTATCTCACCTGCACTGGCGACTTTACTCGAAATACCAATACCCCTGCCTCATCCCATCCTACTCACGTACATAGACAATATGTGCGATTAATATCGCCATGTCCTCGCATACGCTCACTATGTACGCTATGTGGCATGTATACCCCTTCCCCTTGCCCAACCCACGTCCTCCAACACAACAACACCACCACCACCACCACCACCCCATCCTACACCCCCTAACACCCGTCCAATTCCCCTAAAGTCCCCTCCCCCCCCCCCCCCCCCCCCCCCCCCCTAAA